TCTTGTAATTCCCTGCTAGTAAAAGACACTGTAGAGTTTTTAGTATTATTATAGACTAAAGTCATCAACAAAGAAAGAGAGATCCATGAAAAATGACTCCATGTATTTAACATCAAGATGGCCCCTTAAAACACTTTATTTCCCCGTGCCAAATGGTTGATCACGGAAATTTTTACCCACAAAAGCAATCAGGTGGATTTGAGATCCCTCTGGAGAACTTTGTGACATACACATCTCTGAAGACCTGCAGCGACTGCCAGAATTTGGCATGCCTGTGGCCACCGAACCATCACAAACAGTAATGCGTGTTCTGACCAGATGTCTCATAAGACATGAGTCGGTGTCAGCTTCAATAGTGAAATGCTGACCTCTTTTTTTTCAGGCACTGTTAGCCCAAAAAACCCCTCCACCTTCAGCCAAGTTAAAATAAAAAATACAGTAAAATATTTTTTAAAGCTTATAAATTATGTGGATCTTATTGACAAAAGTTAATTATGCAGCTATTCAACAGCTGTCTAGATTATGACACCTAACCCTACTCCACCAGTGGATGCTGGAGAAGAGAGCGAGTTAGGACTCACTTAACAGGACCAAAAATGCCCCTTCCCTGTGCTCCAGATCAGGTCAACTTAGGCTTTGTGCCCTCTGACGCCTCTCCTCTCGTAACAAGCACACCCAGGAGAGCACACACGCTCTTCATGGGGTAATTTGCTGGCAAGACACGCCAAAATAGAGTGATATCCATGTAACTCCCACCCTGTGGAAACAGTATCCCAGAATAAATGGAAATCGAGTATTCCTTGTTAAATGGAAATCGAGTATCCCACACAAGGACTGACTCGAGCATAACAGCAGCAGAGCAAGTATTTTGTTATAATTGCACTGGAAATTCCACCCTCAGACCAGCCTTTGCGTAGAGGAATATTTTTCTGCTCCCAGATACGACAGCATCTAACAAACATATGATGTTGAGAATACTCAATGCCCACATAGGCCCAGATAATTTAAACCCACAAGTCTTCTCCTTTGTTCTGCTATGGCTATAAAATAATTATTTCTTTTTCCCCTCTTTTTAAACATAACGAAGAAAAACAACTGTTTTGAAACTTTTCGCATGAAAGGGAACCCTATTTTATGACATTCTTTCCTAGAAAACTTTTAAGTCTTATTTATTAACAGAATTATTGTGACCATAAGCTGGCTGTCACACAAAGTGTTGAAAAACGCCATCTTCAAACCACGTCTTACTAATGAAATTTTGGTGTTAATTCAGGGGATATAACAGAATCCTAGAATCTGTAATAGGGGCCAAACAACAACTGTGGTTCCTCTGGCAGAAAAGCATCATTTTCTCCCTCTTCTGTTGTGGGTTTGTCACTGCGTGCTCTCCGTCATCCATTTCCAGAATCTATGTTTTGATGTGGAGACCTCACTTGGCCATCGACGTTACATTAAAAGGCTCTGAACATGTTTTGCAGTTCCAATCCCAGGAACTGTTTTGCACTTTCAATCCCAGAATCCAAAAGGATTTCATAAAAAAACCACCCAACCAACCACAACAACGAACAACCAACAAACCTTTAGGCTGCAATTTCATAAATAACCTCAAGGTATCTCTACAACGCAACCAACTTTACGCTGGTGCCAAGTCCAGCCAGTAACCGCTGCCAAAAGCAGCGGCACAGTTGGGTAAATGCTCCAACCATTTGTATCGAGCTCCGGGTTGTTGTGGCTAGATTGCTATCGGGATGCAAGAAAGCCAGTTTAAATTTAGCCCTAATAAGTTTATGGTACACTTCGATGACCAATGTAGCTCCCGCACAGCCGCTCTCAGGAGCTCAGGACCCAAACCCTCACCGGAGGGTGCCTTCTGCAATCCCAGGCTAAAGCACCACAAATGGGTTAACGGACATGGCAATTTAAGCAGCTTTTCCAAGCATCTGCAGGGCATTAATATAATTGTGCTCTCAACTAATCCTGTGGTCTAAACCAATGGTTCCTGATCTTTGAAGTGTAAGCACAGCACAGGAGAGACATGGCGCGGAGACCAGGTGAGCCGGACTTGCCCCGTGCCAGGTCCAAGGCGCTGTCCTCGTGCTCTGCTCCGAAGAAGTGCTGGCCAAGTTCAAAGCAAAGATCTCTACGCAGCACTCAAGGGCAAGCTGTGCTTTTGGCGATCGCCCTCTGTGCCAACACTGTCGTAATCCCAACAGGCTCGAACTCACCAGCAGCCAACAGGCACGCCGGGAGTCACACAGCCCGGTCACACCACGGCCCCTCAGCTCTGGGCTGCCAGACATCGCAACGCGACGGCATCCCCGTCGGTTACCTTGTAAGCCACAAGAAAGGGATGCGATGAGCCAACGTTTTATCCTGATTTTATGACTATGACAGCACAAAGTCTGACTTGCCCTTGGGCCAGACAAATCACGGCGGAACACAGAACGCCAAGTATTTTAAGCATTTGTCTCAAATTCATCCAAATTGAGGCCATCTGACGCCAAACCTTGCTCAGGTTGGGTGTTTAGGCTGTTGAAAGAAGCAAAATGTTCTTACAAGTCTTATTTATTCTTTTTCACTAATGTTTAGGATACTATTTACAGAAAAATCAAGATTAAGGAAGTAGATACAATTGCAAAATATTAACAACTTAGAATTCTTAAGTAGCAAAGAGAGTCAGGAATTTGAATTAACATCAAAATCACGTATTATGGCATCCACATCTGGATATCACTTTACTGACTAAATCCGCAACTTCTCTGAGAGCCAGTTGGTTTCTGTAAAAATGTATTTCTCCCTTTGAAAGGAAATAATAATTGGAAGGTCTTACAGGAAGTCACTCAATACCATATAAAGGAAATTGCAGCGTGTTCCTCAATGTTAGTTTAAATCAATGTTACATTTAGCAAATGCCCGTTTTTTAACGATATAGCTTATACTATATTAAATCTTCTCAAAGGTTTAAGCTATACTAAGAATTGCTTTGGTTTTAGAATGTTTCTTTAATCATCCCTCAAGGTCTTCAGCTTGCCCTAGGTTAGATGTTGTTCCCCATCTTCAGGACATCTAGGATTACACTTTCACCAAAACCATTTCTTTCGGCCCCAGGTTAATAAAAAGTAAACTATTTCTATATATGCTCGTCCAGAATACATGTGGTTCTTTTGTGTACTACATGATCAAATATTAAAAACATCTCTTTCTGCTTCCAGAAGTATACACATCAGTTTACCTTTCTAAGAGTTTTCTGTTTGGGTATCTGGCTTTCAGTAAACTTCCATTGAATCACTGGTTTCAAAGGAATTTTTTTTTAAAAAAGTTCAATATTAATGACACTAAAACAAAGTTCAAGAACCCAAAGCCCCAAAGCATAACAACTCCTGTAATTTCTTAGTTCAAGTGAACCCATAAATTCAACAGTAGCATTTGCACCGGGTGCTAAGAAAAAAGCTGTTAAATGGTCTTCAACTCATTTTTTCAAATATGTAATTCAAGAAGGTATCATGAGTGATAACTTGAATTACAGAATATTTCTGACTATACAGAAGACTATTCCACTGTTAGAGGGTTTTTGTATATCTAGATGGCCACCAGAAAAGATAAGAACTACAAACAGTCCGTTCTTTTAAGTTGTAAAAATTCACCTGTACCCCAAAATAATGTGATTTACCTATGTTCTGTTTTCAGAGCCTAGTAACAAGAAAAGCTACCTCTGGTGATTTGGTTTGGGTAACAGATTATAGTCAACATTTTATGGTTACACCTTTGACAGAAGAGACTAAAGAATGATGAGAAACACAACCCTGTTCCTCAACAAACACACAAATAAAGGCAAGACTACTCAAATCATTAAACAATTTGTGAAAGAAAGGAAAAAAATACGACTGCAGATGATGAAATAGTATCGTCAATCTAATTTCGTTATGCAAATCATTCAACTATAGAGGACAATGTTAATTGTACCATACTTGAACATCAGGTAGGCTCCAGTATGTGAAAACTCCCATGGTTTCTTTTCAGCAGAAAAAGTTGGAAAACCTGTACGAGTTCATTTTTTCATGAGTTTCTAGATTTAACAACGTAATTGTTTGGTACTAGTAAATGTCTTTACAAACAAAGAAAGGAATTTCCTTCTTCTGTACAACTTTTAATGAAGTGTTGTCATTGTCAACCCTAGCAGATCACATACTTTCAAAACTTTTCCATTCCTCTTTACAACTCTGAAAGGAATAATGTTTAAAAAATAATTTGCTGCTTCTGCAGGTGGGATTCTCTGCTGCTGCTCTGAGGTAGGGTGTCAAAGCAGCAAGGAATAGAGCCTGAATATTCAGAACCCACAGTCTCTTAAAGCTTCTTTGTAAAAGACTGGAGAATGCAACTCTGATGCAAAATACGTAGAAATGTAATGAAAAAAAAGGTACAAATAATATTTTATTCTATTTGTAGAGTTTTGGTTTTCAGTGGAACTGAAGAGCGTGCTTTCCTTCACTGTTGCCTTAAATACAAAAGGTGTGATTGCCTTATGAAAGCTGGAGCCCATGCCATACTGCTGGCTCGCAGGTGGCAGCAACTCAGCCTGCACATTTTTCACCTTTTTTTTTTTTCCCCAAGTACTGAAAGCACTGTATAAAATTGCTGAAGATTTGTTAAAATCATAGAATCATAGAACCGCTTAGGTTAGAAAAGAGCTTTGAGATCACTGAGGCCAACCATAAAGTATCCGAGTCAGTATTAAAAGAAAGAGAACCGGAAAGTTTCAAGTATGTGACTGAAATGGATGGATCAGACTCAGCAAACCCCAACGTTTCACGCAGGCACACGTGTGATCAAGGAGAGGAAAGAGAGCCTGAGTCATCAGCTACATCAAAGTCCAGGTCCAGTGAATGGAATTAGTGAGCGCTGTGCGAACAGGAACGATACCTGCATTCATCTGCCCACCGCAGAACTTTTAATTACACGCAGGCAGCCAGTAGCATCAGTGACTAAAATCCCCAGATTACCTTGATTGCTCTGTCATTATCTGTAATCAGCTGCTGCTTCTTATCTTCAAACTTTTGTACAACTTCCTGGAGCCGCTGCTCTGCGGCAAGCTGCTGCCGGCTGTTCTCCTCTGTCAGAGAGGAAATGGTTGTCTCAAGTTCAGCTATGATCTAAAAAGAAAACAGCATGCTAAATCTCTCGTCAGTAAAAGGCATGTATTTTGCATGTTTTTATACTCACTGCAAGCATGGCATTGGCAAACTGTGCTGCGCAAGCTAAATATTTTAAATTAACATATTACACACTGTGAGCAAGCATGAAACTCCATGCAGAGAAAAAGGAATAGAGTAAGGCTGCGAATGACAAAAACTGCTGAACACAAAATATTTGGATGGGTTTTCCACTACGACATTCCAAAATATTTACTCATGAGAACAAAGCACATCTGTGATCTTCAAAACAGAGCATGTTTGCAGTGTTCCACTGCGCTGAAACCAGTACAGCAAATCTACATAGCGAAGGTGGTGTTCGTTTTCTAGAGAGATACTTTAGAGCTTGATACTCCAGAGAAAAAAAAACACAAAACCCACCAAATTTACATACTAGACTGAAATTTAAACTTGACAGTGAAATTTCCGAGCTGCTGAAATGAGCATATTCTGTTTAGCAATACAGTGGGGACCCGACTTAATATCTGGGACCCTTATAGACATTTTACGTGATTTGCTCTTGAATTGTTGAAATGTACTTGTTTTACCTTTTTTATCTCTGTGGAAAGTCATAACTAAACCTGATCCTGCAGGCATGTTCACTGAACTTTATGCTGACAGGTAAGTCATCCCCCACCAAAGCACTTAAAACATACGAGAGAGTCACTGACTTTAATGTATATATTCAAGCTTAAGGTTAAGCTGCTGTAGCAGCATAATATAATCTAATTCTAACAGCACTTCAGCACACAGGCAGTTCAGAGAGGGACTAGCAGAGTGCTCAGGCTTGCGTGTTTGCAAAGCCTCCTGGCTGGTAGAGAAACACTGAACTATACTAACGCCGCAGCTCTTAAAAAAATGAGGACTTTTTAGAACTACTAATAGGACAGGACTAATATAACAAGAAATACTCTAACAAATGAATATACTAGAATCACTGTGGAAGGGGAAAAGGACTGATTAAAACTCCACTGTAAATTCATTTATCTGTTTCACTACCTGAAAACTCCAGAGAGCAACAAAGATCATGAGTAAAACCTACATGGATATTTCTGTATTCCTTTTCTGAAAACAAATACATATTCAAAAAGCTAAAACACCAATCGAGAGGAAGGCTCCTTGCTCTTAATGAGATCAATGGGCCAAAGTTTAAAGATAACCTGGATAGGTGTAGCTCTTTAAGCAGAATTAAGCAGTATCACTGGTTTTGCAATTTATATCATCATTGAGATGACACAACTTGCACAAATTTGGCTTTGCTACGTGCCTAGCACATGCAGCAAGAAAGCGATGGATCATATAAATTATTAAGATAACAACTCGAGGCCATGCAAACCTTTATCGCTTTGTGTATGTTCCATTTTGTTACTTTTTAAAAAGAAAACAAAATAACAAATCCCTTAATATAACACAAAAGTGAAGTTTAAAGCTTTTACTGGGTTAAGACCCCAGACTAGCATAGGAGTTCTGAAATGCATGTGAAGAAATTTCAGCATGAATTGATGGAGAAAGATCTGCTTTGTGCAGGACTTTTCAGAGGAAAAAAAAAAGAAAAAAAAAAAGTCTGTTTACTTTGTATAAACTTCAGAGGAAATTTCTTGAAATATCTTCTCTGTGTGGGTGTTAAAAGTAAATGTTCCAAGAGGCCATGGAGAGTAAGATTAGACAGATGTTGTCAGCAACACGACCACAAGAAAAGTTGCAATTGACCTATTATTAATACCGAGCTACAAAAAAACCCTGTGTTCAAGTAACTTTGGGGATTTGATTCAAACCCACAGGAGTAAAGAAATTCAGACATCAGGGTGAAACTCCCTTATTGTGCCAAACAGCCCTGCCATGTGACGTGTGTGTGTGCCGGCCACAGCGTGCGCAGAAAACCCTCTCGACAAATTACTCAAAAGGCGTTTCGGAGAGTATTCTCTCCCATTTCTCAGAGAGTCCTGGGATTGGGGAGGGTGGAAGGGACCGGCTCAAGGCAGGGTCACCCACAGCCGGTTGCTCAGCATCACATCCAGTCGGGTTTTGAGCGTCTCCACAGATGGAGACCCCACAACCTCTCTGCATGCAAGTAAACATGCAGAAAACACAGAGTCTCAAAAAAATGTGTGAAAATAAGTGACGGTCCAGTGATCTTTCAGTGAAATAACTAAAGCCAAAATTTTGGGCAAATTTTACAGACAATGAGACACAAAAGGAGCTGAAAAGCTGAAATCAGGAGCTCTAAAGTATTTTAGTGTTTGCAATATAGTTTGCAATTTCTTGTCATTGTCTCACTGATCTAGCTTGGAGGCTGATCTAGGTCTCACTCTGCCTAGCTTGGAGGCTTCTAAAGCACTCTTTGTAGTGTTTTTATTGATTTTAAGAGTATTATTAGACTATCATTACTATAGCTGAAAACAGTTTGCAAGGAAAAGGCTGTCATTCTGCCACGGCTGGGAGGAATGTGAAGAATGACACCTCCACAGAAATCCTCGTGGCAATTTTTTTATTATTAACTGCTTAACTTCTGGTTGCATCTCCATCATTTCTCACACTTGACCACCGCCTGTTCATCAAATCGAAAGCTGAAATATTTAAAACCCACCCTGTCTTATCATTTTTAGGTACGTGCAGAAATTCAACACACATCTTTCACGTTCCAAAGAGTACTCTGAGGAACAAAAACTCAAATCAAAACTAGTTTGCTTTCAGAACACCAATGTTCTTCCAAGTGTTTTTTGGGCAGAAACGCTGAACTGGCGAAGTAACGAGGATGAGGATGGCTTCGTGGGCACCCACCATCCTGTGATGCGAAACACAAGGCTGGATTTTACGAGTTGAGATGGGGCACCTCGCCTTCCCCTTCCACTGAGGGAGGGCTCAGTTCTCTCTGGTCCTCAGGAGATGAACAGGTAGATGAGAAAGATGGAAATTAGAACTCCAAAAGACCCGCCCTCTTCTTCTAGTTGGTGGAATGCTCTGTGTTTTTGAAACGGTTAAGATCTGCAAGAAAGGTGCCGGATGTTTGATGTGGGAAATGGCTTCTCTTGACTGTCAAGCCTGAAGCTTAAGCGCAGACATAATCACACTTTTCATCACGTCTCCAAATCCAAAGGATTCGGGCGAGGCTCCCGCCTTCCCGCTACCTACCTGTGAGGACTTAGCCAGCTTCTGACTGCACTCCTTCTCCGTCTGCTTCAGCCGGCTGTTTGCCTGAAACACACACACACACACACACAAAAGACAACGGGATTAGCCGGGATGAAGAACGCGTACAGACACTTTGCCACCGACCCCTCCGCTTGGCAGCGCACCCGCATGCCGATCGCCGAGCGGCCGGGCCCCACGCCAGCTCCAACGCCCTTCTGCGGCGGCCAAAAAACCGCGAGGGCCTGCCTTTGATCTGGGGCCAGCGATTCAGCGCTGGAAAGAGGGGAGAAATCGTACCTCTGGTGCCAATTATTAGAAAAACATAAAGACTTTTTATTTTATTTTTTTTTTAAATCTGCAGAGAAGAGCGAATGAGTGTGTGTGGCAGGGGAAGGAGGCAACACACACAAATTTATCAGGGTGACTTCGTTTCTGAAGGGAGGGAGAAGGCTGCCAGGGAACGACACGACACAGATGACACCTTCATGGCTCAGCTTGGCGTCTGCAGCTGCCTCTTGCCCAATCTCACATCCCCTCCCACTTCAAGGTGGTGATTGCACTGGAAATCGACCCAACCAGGAGCTCTCGGACATAGAGCTCTTTCCTTCTCCTAGCATTTTTTTTTTTTTTCACAACTCAGAAATGAAGCATAAACCGAACTGGAAACAAGGCTGCTTTGTCATACCGGAATCCAATAAGTAAATATTTCTATAATTCTGGGGAAAATCAATTTTTTCCATCAAATGGTTTAATTTCTGAAATAATTACATAATAACTAGATAACAATAACAGCAACAAAACTCAGTTTAATTTCAGGACACAATTCTGGTTTTTATTTTTCTTGCCAAGAGCCACGGTATTATATCAATAGACCAGTCTCCAAATGCTGTCCTCAGATGAACTGCTAAGTGCTCTCGTGTTCTTGGATCTAAAACCTGAGGACAGGTGTCTTAGAAAAATATTTTCTTAGGGGGACAGAATATTACGAAGTCGAGTTCTGAAGCAAATTTAAGCTGATTAAGTTTTCAAAACCTCTCTGACCTCCTGTTCACATCTTTGATCTGTTGTCCCTGGTTTTACGGCGCACAGACACCTTCAGCCCCTTCAGCTGCCTGCGTGCCAGCGCGCGTTTTGGGGGGACCACAGAAGCCGTGGAGACCCCCCTGAAACCTCTGAACCCTGCTTGGATCCAGTTGCAAGACTAAAACTTGAATTTCTGCAAACAGCAGCGATTTCAGTCAAGCAAATAGCCTTATTGATTTTACCGGCCTATAAATTTAAGAGCTTAAAGTTGCAGAGGGTGTTTGTGAATCACCACCAAGGGCTCAAATCACCCTGTACAAGGCAGGCAGTTAGGGATGGTGCAGCTTAATATAAGTATATTACAGCCACTTAAAAATAATCTTAAAGTTTGCACGATACTTCAACTGAAGATCTCAAATCCCTTCAGATTCCTAGATCATGAAACATATGGAGGTCTGTCTTCCATCAGTTTGTTGGTACTAACCAAAAAAAAAACCAACTATGAAAAAGGTTAATCAGAACCAATTATTACATTTGCGCATAATTTTGAGAATGCATTTTGGTTGTTTTTTTCAATAGATAGAGATAATAGCATTAGCTATTTGCTTAAAACTGTGTACGTATAAGAATTGTGGAGCAGCAGACAAGTTAAATTCCACTTCTATCTATGTTTGTCATTTAGTGTGTGCCACGAGCACTGGAAGGGCATATCGTGGGGCTGCACAAGTGACAAGAGCAGTAAAACAGAAGCAGCTACGCCTGCTCCGCTTCTCTTTGTACTCAAGCTGACCCATGTTAACGCTCTTTCCGCCGAATTGTCGTCTTGTTTCAGATTACATTTTACCACCACTGCATATCATAAAGTGATTGAAATGCCAGTTTATCTCTAGGGAAAACAAACCAACAAAAAGAATTCAGTAACAGTATAAATTACTGTTATACTCAGAAAGGGAGAGACACCAGCCGGCAAGGCACTGCCCAGGAGATCACGTTACAGCTGCTCTCACTCAACTTGCCTGGGGTAAAAGTCTTCATCTTTCATACAGTCAGCTTTATAACCTCCCAAACCCATAGAATAAATCCCAATAAATAATAAAAAACCCTTAAAACTTCCATAAACAAATCAGAGCTTGCTTGTTCCCACTGAGCAGAACCAAGATGACCTCTGCCAGACAGGACAGAGATACGATGCATTTCAGTGGTTTAGTCCTAACTGAAAGCAAAGAAAGTATATCCTATCAGTTTATTTAAAGGCAATTATAACATTTTATCTCATAATAGCTTTAACAAATTCCAATTAGGAAAATATTTCTAAGTCGTCATCAACAAGCCACAAACTCTCGCATTTACTTGCAGTCCCAAATATCCAGACTGGAGGGGTCTGAGTTTCAGAAGTACCGAGCTACCAACACCTCCACTGGAGATGGCAAAACCACTTTTAGACCAGCTCTGGCTGTCTAAAGCTGCCTATGCTGACCCTGTGGCACTAAAAACTACAGCCACCTGCTGACTTCAGCTTTTCTCTCCAGACCTGTAACGCTGCCCAGGTCTCGCACCAGGACAAGCTGCGTGGGCAGCACCAGCGGAGCTCTGCAGAAGGCAGCTGCTACAGTTACAGCCCACCGGTCAGGTGGAAGGATCTAATTCATGGTGATGCACAGGAATACTCCTTTCCACTGTCGCCTTTTACTGCCGAAACATTAAACTTCTCCTTCTTAAATCATGACTGAACTCATTTAATACCCCTCAACTACAGGCCACTGCTTTGCAGCCTAGGGAGGCATAAACCTACTCTCCCCTGGGGCAGATGCAGCACTGCTGCGCACAAAAGAGCACCTTTTCATTTTTATTTTTTTTTAAGGAATGACTTAGAGCAAAGTAAATATGTTTAACTGTGTACAGTGAACACCGCAGATGATTTATATTACATTTAGCCTGACAAACGGGAAGGTTAAAACTGGCACGGTGTACCCAGGCAGCAGTTTCCTGGGCTCCTTCTTTTCTACGTTGTATGAAGTACAAGCTGCTTCTGTATTATTTTAAGGGCACTCCTCCACTTTCAGGTTACATGCTATTTCAGAAACATAATGAATAAGAATCCAACTGGAAGGTGAACATTTGGAGGGTCAGCCAGTATTCATTAAAGTCTGAGTCTTTTTATAGCAATGGGCAGCGCTGCAAATGTAGTTAATGGTCTTAAACTAGTTTTCCGTGCGCGAGAAGTAGCTGTTGAAATACACGCTTGGCAAAAACTTGTCAGAAATATCAATTGTAATACCCATTTTTATAATAAAAAGGTTTAAATTGGATAAGTCATAGAGGAACTCCACTGATTCAAAAATTAACTTCTGTTTAGTTTCCCACAGTTAATACACATTTTAGCTAAAATTATCTGATTATGACAATTTCACATGCAGTTATTTTACATTACATAGTGAAGACTTTCACATTAAAAAGATTACGTCCTTGTTACAGTTAATTGGTTTTAAAAGCCAACTATAATTCTATAACAAGCCTTAAAGCATCATATTGTGGTTGCTGAGCAAAATTGCACCGACATCAACAGAACACTTCACATAAAAATTAAAAAAGATATTAGCACTACAGATGTGGTATCGGAATTAATGGATGCTCTTCTAACACAGTCTGATTTTCTTCTTTTCTTTTTCCTTTCATGAAACAGAACCGCATCACTAAGAATAAAAGAGCAAAGGATCTACGACGGGGTCATGCCGCAAAAACATACAATGGTCCTACCTTAATTACAAAGTTTTTAAATGTTGGTTTTAAGGTATAAGATGTATTAGAGGAGACTTTTTAGCTCTAGTGCCACTTGCTGGAACATATGCCCTCACCGGCACGGCCACCTCTGGAGCCGACAGCAGCTCAAGGTGCGCTGCGGGGCTGGCCGGCACAGGGACAACTTCATCGCTCAGCACCACCCATGGAGGCATTCAGGACATCTGGAATGGTCATCAGAAACGTAGCTGTTAAGAATTTTTTTGGAAGGGTACAAATCTTGGACTATCTTCCAGCTTTGGAATGGTGATTTTTTGGACGGAAAGTTACGATTTCAGTTCTGCTACAAAATTAGTAGGAAAACTAAGTCCTGCAAGCCAGAGGTGGGCAGATGTGTAAGAGTTAAGGATGCACCATGCAATCCTGTTCATCTCTATGATTTACAGTTCTGTGCCCCGCTCAGTAGTGTTTCTATTTGATTTTGACCTCCTCAAAACATGAACAAACACAACTCCCACAAACATAACTCGCAAACTAGAGGGTTATATAAACACACCCTTATTCACTAAGAGAAAAGTACATGTAAGAATCTAGTGAGGGTACTAGTTACGAAATAATCATTTTTCAAAATGCCTGCAACTAACTGATGGCCATACATAAGCTGATCCTCCATAATTAGTTAGATAAAAGTGTAAGCAAACTAAAAAAAAAAAAAGGAAAGAAATCAAAGGGTGGGGGAAGGAGAAGAAAGAAAACTTGCTCCAGGGAAGAAGCAACTGTTCTCTGATGTGCAGCAAAGAATTTAACATCAAAGAACTAATGTAAATGGGGCCCATTTACCTTAAAAAACAACACACCACTCCACATTCTGGAATATTTCTATTTAAGTTTGACAGCATTATGCTTTGTACCAAAACTCAAGATTGTGTAATTTGACAGATGTCAAAAGAAAATGACCTTTAGAATGGCTAACCATAGCAATTTTTGTTATTAAGTAGGTTAAACACTCTGCGCAGTATCTTTTTAAACTTCAGAGATTAGCAGATCACCTTTTAAGTTCATCTCATTGTATATGAAAATTTCATTTCGACCCCAAAGCCTCAAACACGTATTTTCTTTATGTGCCTCTAATCCTGACAGTGGGCGACTTCCTGCGCCAATGCTCTTGTTCTTTCTACTCTTCTCCCCACCCATCAGATACCTCACGGAAAGCTGAATCTCTGGGTAACAGCGAAAATAGCACACCAATTCAAATATGCGATTTGAGCCACCCAAAAGACCATTAAAAATAGTTCAATACC